AGGTGCCCGTTCACATTCTGTCCTGCAGAAGAGCCAGGGAGAAATCCTGCTGATGTAACCCCATGACTGAGTGCAACAGCCTCGTCACTTTCTGGAGCTCACTCCAGAGCTACCTCGCACGCACCATGATCACATTTTCAGCACGTGTTACAAATGCAAAAGCTTCAAACTGGATACTATTTCCATATTGCATATGGTAACTAAAAATGCAGTTCTAACTCATTTTAATACTGACCACAGTGTCACACATCAGCAACAGTATACACCAGCAATATGGACTGTGCACAGAAAGCAAAAATAGGCCAGCTTTATTTAGTTTGCTAAACATAACCTCCGTATCTGTCTAGGTAATCTATTGATATGGAAATTTAAAAGTAACACTAAAATCAGAAAGAACACAGAAAATAGTTGGCAAATTTAGATATTTGCTTTTGTGGGTCATTTTGTTCTCCAGGTTTCCATGTGTGTGCCAGCATCTTGATGCTTTTACACAGCCATCAGAGCTGAAAAAGGTCACAGAGGCTTTAAGTGAATTGCCCAGTTCTCTGTGACTTGCAGCAGAGCCAGGAACAGAGCCCCAGAACACTCAGCACTTCACAGCAGTCATAATACTTCCTTTTTCCAATTGAACACTTGGGGTATTTCTGTCTTTCTCAACACTGTGCGTGCAGAGGAGTGCAAAATTAAAGTGCTCTGAGTGTTTTAAAACCATCTGATAGTTGTGCTGGAGTTGTGCTTACACTAGAGAGTGTCAGAAGGCTCACATTTCAAAATACAGCTCTGGACCTCAGGCAAATCACTCGGGAGCCAGTCAGTGGACCAAGCTAGTGTTTTCTATTATTGTTTTTCTGCTCTCTTGGAGCAGTAACCTTGCACACAGAGCCTCAGAGAGGTCTCCTACACTGCAGCACCTTTCTCCTATGCTCTGTACCTTTCTGCTATGCAACTCAACCTCAGGAGGAAGACAACGGGAAGAGAAACGTTTAGTAAATCATCCCTCTGCATTTCACTTTGAAGGAACCCTCTGCAAGTTGTTGTTTATAATGAATCCAGCCTTAAGCAGGGCATGTGGGTGTTTTGTTTTGTTTGTGCTGACTGTGCAGTCTGATACTTTGAGCGAATTGTCTTGGGAAAGCAAAGAGTCCTTTATTGCATCCATTGCTGCCAAGTGATTTGGCAGATTCCTCCACGAGATGCTCAATCCGATAGGTTCTGCTAGAGCGCAGCTGGCCACTTCCCAGCAGAACAGCTCAACTTAAACAATTTTAAAATCTTATTATAGCCAATTTGTGGTTTTGGCTGAGGAAAGAAGAGGGATACAAAAAATAGAGGCAGCTGGGTGTCAATGAGGGATGGAGGAGTGATGTCATTTTCATTGCTGTGCCACACAAAAAAAGGACTGGCTTTGCACCCACCCTGGGTCTCATTAAAGCAAACACATGCCCTGCTTTGAGGCACGTGCATGAGGTACACCTGCAAAGATGACTTCATTTGTCTTAGCATTCCTCCGGGTGTCCAGGATAACATATTGCTTCCACGCAGCCAGAGGCCATGAATCAGAGGGCAGGGTCGTTGTGCCCGGCTAACCGCTGCTGGCCGCCGGGCCCAGCGAGCCCTTGTGCAGACCACGCTGCTCCTGCGTCCCCTGCAGCTGCAGCACGAGGGAGACCAGCCCAGACCAGCTCCGATTTGTACCTTGTTCCTTGTTTTCTAAAAAACAAGGACTCCCATAACAGAAAAGGGTCATCGCCCAACCTGGGATGACCAAGTGGCTATGGAGCAGCCACAGCATCTCTGACCCCCTTCATCCAGCTCCCGAGGGTGTCTCCGAGGGAGGGAAGACTTTCCTTTCTGTAGGATCCCCCAAAGCAGCACAACAGGCTGCCGTGTAGGCTTAGGTCAAGGCAGAGATATGCTTGAAGGAGCAGAAACCAGCCATTACTTACATAAAAATCTGTTTGGATTTGATCATCTCCAAATGTCTACCTGCACCAACTGCATTAAATAATCTTTGAAATGCCTGTGTGAAAATACAATAGCTATTGTAGAAGAAAATATTAACATAGCACAAGAAACACCGGACACTTTGTTTTATGGAGTAAACCCGACTAAGCAGTTTTTAAAGCATAGCACAAAATGGTCAACTACCTAGACAGAAATGAGCTAAAAACGCAAAAACTTGCCCATGTTATGGTTTGCAATCCTGTTTGAATACAACTTCAAAGATGGTAAGAATCTGACAGGGCTTTGCAAAACTTTTACAGTCAAGTACAGAAACAATGCCAAACGCTACCTGGGACTAGAAGGAACAGGACAACATGGTAACAGGGTAACAACATAATATCTTGCCATTGTGAAAAGTGGCATAACATTGCCAGATTAACTCAGAACACAAGTGCTTAATTGCAAAAAGAGTAAGAGGAGAAAATGTTTACTGAAGAAACTGCAGGACCGAAACACCCACAAGGGTTTACATTAACCACTTCATACTGGGCTGATCCATGGGGAAGGGAATAGGAGGTTAATTGGTGAAACGGGGTAAGAGACACCGTTTGTGAAATAAGAGGCTTTAGGCTAGTATCAAGCATCAAAGAATGTCGTCTTGCTCTCTTCTGCCACTTTATTAGGAAAAGCCTTTAGTGCAAATAGCTTTCCCCCTCCGTTGGGTGAGTACCAAGACCCACTGTCACTGAGTGCCCAGGCGCTCGCACGCCCTGCCAGGCAGTGCTGGCTTCTTAGACATGAAGGAGCAGCCTGTTTCTTGGAAATGTTTATGTAATTCAGCTGTGCTGCTGCAGCCACAGACACTAAATAAATGAGCTCAGGACCTTTCAGGCCAGTAGTGCATCTCACTCAGGTTTTGCCTTCCACCAAATGCTTTGTCAAACTTTCAGCTTTGTTGGACCTGGAGGGTTGGGGGGCAGGTTGGAGAGTTGCCTTCACTGCTGTCAGCACTAATGATGTTTCTCACCAGAGAAAATGAGGATTTTTTTGTTTGAGAATCCAGATTCCCTGTGGGGCACAGTTTGGAAAACTGGAGATATGGGAAGGAAAATACCTACTAGGGCAAAGTGTAAACATCCCATAAAGCACAATAGTGAAACACCTACAGAGAGTGTTATAGTGTTGCCAGCAAAGTAACTAAAGTGACCTACTGAAGAGGGAGCTATAGCAGATGAAAAGTTAAAATAAATCAAAAGTTTAGTCTAGAGATTATAACAGGAAATTATCATTGGAGTCAGGTTCCTACATTCTTTTGCTGGTTCTGCTTCCGATTTACCAAGCAAGTCCAAGAGGCCAAATTTCCAAAGCAGCATCTAATTTGGAGAGCTTCCCTCGGTGGTGCCCAGCAATACACACAGAGGACTCCACAGCCTCAGTCTTCAGTGCCCTCCAGTGCCCTTGTGAGGGCAGCACTTTTCAGCTTGATGCCTCTTGAAGTCAGTTGCCTAAACTTGAGAAACCTGTAGGCATCACCCCATTCAAAGCAGCCATCTCCAAATGTTTTCCCATCTGTAAACTGTGGCTAGTGAAACATATGGCAGTGGGAGTTTGATGTTTAAATACTGTTTATGGCTGGCCTAACATATTGCGGTAGGAGTGTGATGTCTAAACAATGTTTATAAACATTTGCAAAGCTTCAGGCACACTGTGCTTCCAAAGTCTGTGCTATTCTTTCTGGAAACAAGGCAGCCAATGACCTCCACTTCTTCTAAAAGGACTGCTTCTTAATAAGGGTAGCTGACTAAGGGAAGCTACATTTATAGGTCTGACTATAGGGCCAGTAAGTTGAGTACCACTGAGAGTTATATAACTCTTTCTTACTAGTCAGATAACATGTCCCAAGCTGAATCAGCAAATAAAGCAATCTGTTGAGCCTCAGGGCAAGGTGGGAGACATCTCCATCACGAGAAGCCCTTGTGCTGCGTTCCTGTTCAATTCCTTGAGAACTAAGTCAAGACAGCATGTGGCTCAGGCTGTGCTACAAATTCCTTAGAGACAGAGCCAAATTAAGTGTCCAAAATAAGGATGTATCTTTACTAACACCCCAGAAACACAGAGAGAGCACAAGAGGCTTGGGGTCCTACTCTTGCTGCGCTCACCAGTGAGCGGGATGGATCATGCTCAGCGGCCTGTTCCCGCTTTTTGCCACACGCAACCATTGAAGGAACACAGCACACAGCATCTCTGAGCCGTGGGAGCTGCAGTCCCAAAGCCCCTGCCAAGCTCAGGTCTTCTGCCAAGCACCTGCTCTTTCAACCCATATTTTCACACAGAAAACAATTTGAACCTCCACGCTGAGAAATTGTACAAGCTCCCAAAACAAAACAAACCCTTTCCCAGAATGACAGACCATTTAAATTTCATAAACTTAATCTGAGAACCTTAAAAAAATGCCCTGGAGGCATAACATACAAATGGACAAAGAACCCTTTGACAGGTGAAGATACCATTCTGCCACTGCCTAAGAGAGCAAGGTCTCCTGAGAGGCAACAGCAAAAAAATGCAGTGACTACATGAGCAGTGTTTCAACATCTTGAAATGCTCGAGTCTCTGGCAATAATGCCCACGTCTTTACAGCTATCATCAAAACAACTGTATGTAACACTCATCCTCACCTAACGTATCAGGGTGTTATGTGCGTTACTGTCTGGTCAGACGTTTTGGTCAGAATATTTAGAGAACTTCAATGTTGACTGAAAAAAGCCTGTTTGCCATTTGAATATTTTAGACATTATAACAGTGCATTATATTTGGGAATCCCTTCTTATTTCCCTTACAAGATAGAGATTGGTGAAACATTTTTCACAGAGAGAGAAAAACAATGGGATTAATCAAAAGTGCCTCTTCCCTCCTCAACCCCAGTGCTCAATTTCATATATAATAATAGTCTTCATACTAATGAATTGCCAATACATCCTAATAAAAATTTACTTTTCCACTGCTGCCTTCCAAGCCATTTGGTTATTTATTACTACTTCCTTTCTCTTTTGTTTTAGGCTCGTCCAAAAGGAGAAGGTCTGACTCCATACCAGGGCAAGAAACGCTGTTTTGGTGAATACAAGTGTCCTAAATGCAAGAGAAAATGGATGAGCGGAAATTCCTGGGCTAACATGGGACAAGAATGTATCAAGTGCCACATTAATGTTTATCCCCACAAACAGGTAGGAGAACTGCAGACCTGCTGATGTGCAGGCTTGGAACTAGGCGCGTGCTTGTTGAATTTCTAGAATGTGGGTGACTCAAACATGACAACATAAGAAAACAGGACAAACTTTGGACAAATTCACTTGTTCCTAGTGAATATCATGAAGATCTTTTGTGCCACTACCTATGGATTTTCCACGAATGTAAGCAAACATTATGGTGGTGCATATAACACTCCACAAGGACTGTTCCCCAAACAAGCTGCTGTTCTCAGTCCTAGTAGGGAACTGGTGCCATCAGAGCTGCAGAATGTATGTGTCCCATCTTTCAATAAAAATAGCTCCAGAACAAAATCTACCTATTTCTTTTATAAACATGGACTGTGAGCTCTTAGTCTTGGATAAAGTCACCAGAAGATAGAGTAAAACGAAGTGCAGCAGTAACAGTAAGCCTCCAAAAACTTACAATTCTTTTCATATTTAGACCAATTTAACATTTTTATTCCATTGGAATCAGTGCAGTTATTGCCAGTGTTTGCTTCACTTTTTGTGCTTTGTTGGGCAGAGTTCAAATTGGTAGAGGAATTACGTGTGTTTATCAATATTAGTGATAAAAGAAGAATGCTAAGATTAACTCCTGCCAACAAAAGCCTTTAGTTAATAACAGTAAGGCAAGACAGCAGTCAGAGACATTTCCCTATTTCAGTAATATCAAGGATGCCCAAGCAGTGAGTGCCTTTCATTATCTGGATGGGTCAACTCTAAGCAACAGCTTTGCTAGGAATCCCACCTCTGCAAAGAGGGAGAGTTTAGCCATCTTATCAGCCATAACATGATCTTCCCTCTCTTAGAGACTGAAGTTGTGTGTCTCCCTTTCAGCAGCTTCCTGACTCACAGCTGCCTTTCCAGCTGCCATGTCCTGACGTAAAAACCTGGCTTCCAGGTTCCTGTTTTGCCACATCAGAATTGGTTTCAGTCAGTCAACCAGTTCAGTGGTTGTTAATGGGAGACAGGCCAACTGCATGAGCTCATATATGTCAAATCAGGCTACAAGATGACTTTGTCAAAGCTGAATTTGCATTCAGAAAGTGAGTTTTGACACCATGAAAAATAAGTTTGACCAATAAATTGTGCAGAATTACTACCTTGCGTAACTAGAAACAAACTATTCCTGGCTCCCTTCTAGGAAGTGGTTTAAGAACAACCACTAAATGCAGTAACACCTAGGATTAATCCTACCAATTCCAGTACAATCAAATATGAGACATCTGTGAATGCAGCTTTCTGATGAAGTCAGACAATATTTAACTTCAAGATGGCTGATATAGATCAAATGCAAGAAACATCATGAAAAAATTTGAATCAGATTTTGCAATATTGTAGAAAATTGTTGTGAATGGAAAGAGTTACTTTAGAAAAATGCAAGAGGTGCGATTTTCCTCAGATGTAATTCATGGTAGCTGAATCTCAGCAATAGAGCTCTACATGTGTCAAGTTACCAGCTGTCCACTCATAGAAAACACTCAAATCACAGATGAATCATACAGATGTACTTGCAATAGGTGGAAAAGAAATTCCATCAGGAGCCTTAAGCATTTCATTAGCTACCTAAGTGCTTGTAAAATCCTATAAAAAATGTTTTCTGAGGACACCTCATACCATTCCATATGGTATGGGCTAAAAGGGTGAGGGAAAGCATTCTTCTTGTCCAAAGACCTTGACTATGATGAAGAAAAAGCAGGAAACACACACTGCAACAAGCAGGAAAAGGAGATCGAATCAAGTTTACTGAGATTTAGCCCACCCAGTAATAACTAATTGACTGTATTTCCTCCTCTTATACACATACAGCAACACCACATTGCAGTATGCACCCAAGACACCGATTTGGAACTGCTAGCACCTTCGACCAAGATGCATCCCCATCAAAGAAAGTAGTATCTGAAGCCCTCCATACTGCAGCCCCAAAGTACTCATTTCCACCTTACTCCATTAACCTTGCTTTTTCGGTAGAAGCCTCATTTTAAACTCAGAGTACTTCACTGTGAGATGCTTTTACCTCTTTCTTGTATCATAGGAAATATTCTAGTTTACAGTGAACTTACGGCTGAGCTGGTCAATATCAGTGTTTCTGTTTATGATCTGAGAAGATGTGATCTGTCCTGCTGTCTGCCTCTGGGCTTATCAAACTCATTCCAAACCTAAAAATGAGAATTTTGTCCCCTATTGACAAAACTGTTACTGGAAACTGTATTGCAAGTGAGACAAAGGGAAGGGCCTTTTTTAAAAAAATAGAAAACTGCATATGAAAGGAAAGCTGAGCAGTTTTCTTTCACGTAACTTCAAAGTTTCCAAGGTCTCTGGTTCCTTGCCTTTGTTTAGACAGCTTGCTTAGACAACTGCACCAAAATCTAGGGTGAGAAATGCAGTCATTTATCACACGGACGGAAGCACAGTGCTGAGGGTCAGAGAAATTACAAGATCACTGATTTATAATGCAAGTTTATAAATATTTACCTTGTTCTTCTAAATTCTTTCCATCATTTATGTTCGCGTTCAAAGGGTCACAAGAAATCTCTCAAGAGATATCCTATCCACACAATACCAGAAACATTGGAAACACGTGCATTTTATAATAAAGAAGGTTGGCAAGTAGTCCCTTGGGCAAAGCCGCCTTTCAGAGCAGGGCTAGAGAAGTCTGCATCTGCAAAGTGCTAAGGTTAACAAAGAAAGGTAGCAGCCTAGAGTGCCTTTGCAAGCCGGGTTTGCCATGAAGATGCATATTTCAGGTTTGAGGGAATAATCGCAGCATGTGCGGTGCAGGTTTCCTGCATCCCCTCCCCACCAGCTGCATTTCCAAGATCCTCCCCAAAAACACAAACCGTTTTTCTCTTCCAGTGTGTTCATGCCCCCATCAGTAGATATCACAACTGGGTGAGATCTCAGGACTGGACAGAGTGCCTTTCAGCTAGGCTTCCCTATAAACAACTTGCAGCCAGTCACTATGCTCTTTCCCAGATTTCGAACTTACAACCTCAAGCTGGAAAATTTCATATCCTGTTGTCTCTGCCTCACCTCTGCCTGCCTCTTTTTTGGTTTTACTGTCATGATTATGTTTGCTTTTTGTTCCTCCCGAGGTGCCCCACGCTTTTTCAGATTAGCTACCTCAGCCATAGCAGTGGGTAGAGAGCACAGCATGTGGCCCCAGCCAGCAGCAGGAGGGCTAGAGCAGCTGCCCAGTGCACAGGTTTGCTCCAGCATCTCCTTTGGGAAGGGGAAAAAAGTGTATCCGGTCACTAGCACTCTTATACTAGCAACTCTGTATGTTATAAAATCTCAGTGAAATGCTGCTTTTTTAATTCAAGAAGCCAGTGCTGCTGCTTTGAGAAATAAAGGAGCATAACGTGCACAGAGCGTGATTCCATTTTCAGCTTTTACTATAATAACCTATTAAGAGAACTATATCATATTAGCATTTTCTGCATGTATTTTCCATTTATCTCTTAGATTTGATTACTCTGTTGGCACTTACCATAAGAGATCTCTCATCCAAGAGTTGAATTCCTGCACATTTCTAAGTTTTTAGCTATCATTTTTTCCCCCTCTCACTGCATTAGTGGATATCTGCAGTTAAGTCTACGCTATGGCAAGAGTGCTACTGACTTTACTATATGGAATCAAAAATGACACTGAAATTACTTTGTGTTATCTGACCCTTCCAGCACAAGACTGCCACAATAGAAGGGACTACAGATGAGATTAACACAGGACTGTTCCTTCTACAGAAATACTTTCGTAGCTAACGAGTTTGTGTACCGACTATTTTCACCTGGAATAGACATGTAAGGAGAAAAGAAGTTGGAGAAAAGAGAGATTTGAAGGGGACTTTTTTGCATAGCCTTTGAATATTTTTTCAGTTGAACTCATATAAGAAAAGACATTCTCCCTCCAGGGAAGCCATGCTTATCGTGTTACATATTTACACTCAGTGCACCATTCAAGTCAAATAAAGCAGAATTGCTCCTTTGTATCATCTTTTCTCTCACTGCAAAATTACCACACTATGTAAATGATTTCATCACAGTGTAGATAATTCATACTTCAGTGGAAAAATATATATTTTAAAAACCAAAATCCAGATGACCTGGCCAGACAGGAGTTTTACTTCCATTCTGGCTCAGACAGAATTAAATGATGAAATAAATCATAGTGAAATAAATGATTTGTTCCCCAGAGCCATCTTTGTGGTCAAAACTCTCCCTCTGCAATATGGTGGAATTCAACATCCTCTATTTTGGTTACTCTTTTCCCTACCACTATTTAGCAACCTACCACTATTTAGTAAACATTTTGTGACCGAACAAGAGAAAAAAAAAGCACCTTGAACGCTCTTAAAAATATGAGGGTTCATATTATCAAAGGCACCAATCACTTATTTCCTTGACATTTACTTGCCTTTTGTCAAATTACAAGTCTCCAAAGCTTTAAAAATTGAAAAATAAAGAAAAAAAAAAAGAATCAGACAGCATCCTCAGACTGCCAGGTTCACATTTTCCTGGTGAGGACATACTGTAAAAGCCTCTATGCTCAAAATTGCATCCAACATTAAAGCATTGACAGATGACATGCAGTCATCTATCTACACACAGAAAGACTCACTGCAGGTCACATCCCTATTCTGAACCTGAGCAGCACAGGATACTTAGGGAGTGCCATGGATATAAGGCACAAAAACAGGAATGCTTTCCTAGGATGCCTTCACTTCCTCCAGCATGGCCAAGCGAATATCCCAGCATTCCCACAGTTTCTCATTAGAAAGATCAGCCTCTGTAGAGCCTGTTCAGTAGCTAAAATACAATCACATGGACATCATGTTGGTTACCTAACTATGAATATCAGGCTCTTTCTCTGTAGTGGAACAAAAATTAAATCCTTATATCCAGGATTTCTCTAGACTCATTGTGATGAATTCAGAGTTTCAATTCCCTTCAGTTTCCAAGGCTGCCCATTCCTCCAGTCCTCATCTCCATCCCTCCATTTCATCTTCCCTGTTTACTCAGTTTAGGAACTCTTCAGAGTCTGACACCTGATGTCAAAAATGATGGTCAGATCTTGAGTGCTTTCATTTAACTGCCTCAGAGTACTAAAGATAATGATCTGTCCTCTGGATAGCTCTGGTGTTGCAATTCAAGCACATGTGCTGGATCTTTGAGTGGCTTGTACAGTGATGCTAAAGTCTTCATTTCCTAGGCAGAGTTTTTGCTAGTTGGTTCCTAGGTATCAGAGCAGCCACCCTTCCACCACAGCCTGTTCTTGACTGCTGGAGACTCATTTCACTCAAGGAAATGTCCCAGCGCCGGTTCCCCATGAGGGATGTCTCTGCGCAATCCTGCTCTTATTCCACATTCCCTATCTGTGAGAATGAGGTTTTAATCTCTCTGGGATGGGAGAAGTCGCAGCAATTTTACAGCTGTGTGTGTAGCTTTGAGTGCTCTATAAACAAAATTCTAAATCTCTGTATTTAAGAGAGAGCTTTTTAAGAGAGAGGCACTGATATTACCAAGAGCAATAGAGCCATTACCAAGAGCCTAGTTAGCAGGGCTGCTGCCCTTCGCCAGGCCAGTCCCATGGACTAGGGAATCAGGTGGCACCTGCCATGGCTGAGTGCCCTGCCATGAATCTGGTCTTTTTCGTGTTCATGACCATGTCGTGCCACTGTGTTTCTCCTTTTGCATCTCCACCGTGTTCCCAAAGCAGTAAGCCTCTCTACAGAGACGCTCACATAAATTCACACGATAGCCAGGACTCAGGGCAAAAGTTAGAGGCCTGCTGAGCTTGAGCCTTGTTAAAGATGTACAAAGAACCACCTTGAGGAAGCTGTTACATGGCTACTCCAGAAATAGTTTTGTGGGGAGTTCCTTTAGCTATCTGGAAGATAAATAGGAGTCTCGGAAAGGACTTAACCCTACCCCCTTATTCTTCCCAGCCATTTGGGTTTTGTAGTTGTTTCTGCTGCTTTTTACACTGCTCCTGCAAGGGAGCCAGTCCTTATAGCTATACAGCAGTATCGTGGTCACCACAGCAGCCCGGATGCTAAACTTTGCATTTTCGTTTCCTTTCCTGCCCACTCTGGCAGCAGCCTCTGTGGCTGTGGTTGCTTCCTGGCTGGCCTCTTACCGAGGCTTCTTCTTTGGCCTCGTGGCCAGCTCCAGCGCTGTCAGTGGCAACAGCTGCTGCACTCGGGCAGAACCCGCCGGGGGCCAGGCTCATCCTCCTGGAGCCCCTCTGCTTCCAGCTGTCATAAGTTCACTCCACTTGACTGAAAATAATTTAGTGTGTAAATACATTCTTCCTGGTAGCCAAGCTATGGCTCCCATGAGCAACACGGTGATTCCGTCATAATTCCCATGGCCAGGCTGAAACCTCCAGGAACCTCTTCCCTCAGCAGAGGGTGGGAGGGAAGGCTCTAATTACCCCTAAGTCCAGTCCTAGCAATGACTAATTGACCTTCATAAAAGCAGCTTCCAACCCTCCACTAAAACTGTGAACTTTCACATTTGCCCAGTTTCGGAAGCTTAATTCACAGAGAGTCAGGCTGACCATCATCTAACATTTAATTACCTGACCCTTCTTGCATAGTCTCTAGTTCCTCTAAGATGAGCCCAAAACTTGCAGAGATGTCTCCAGATTCAAACACATTGCTTTTCTAACATGCCAACACTCCATAAGGGTATATTTTGTTGTTGGTTTTAACTTGTGTGCAGTGGAGAGCTCAAGGAATAGATGTAGACTAGAACAGTAAGAGCTGACAAATGAAAGTTAGTTTGCAGGATAGGAAGTGCTATTTAAATACACGTTTTTTTGAGCTTTATACACCCTGCACAGGAGCTTCAGTGCTTTCTTGGTGGAGCTGCGCAAAATGCTTTTCACCCAGCAAGAACAGGAGAAAATTAAATTTAAAAAGACAGGGAAAACGTGGGATTTTAAAAGAGCCTGCTTCCCCAAGGTTCTACAGAAAACGATTCAAATACTAGAGGTTTCCCTTTCTGTTCCCCCCTTAAAAAAAAAAAGAAATTGACAGTGAAAATGGAGAGGTTATATTTTAGTTCCCATCTAATAGAAATAGCGAGACTTTTTGTTGTTTTACAAGTTGTCTCACCTGTTTCTAAGGAAAGTGTTGTTTCCTCAGCTGAACACCCTCTCCCTCTCTCCACACACTTTCCAAACAGGTGGCCAAGTTTTCGTGCTTGGCTTCTCAGGCACAGGGCAGAAGGAGGAGCAAGAGGTCACAGGGCTTTTGCGCTCCCCTGGGCTGTGCACATCCCTCACATGAATGAGTCAATCCTGAAAACGTGGCCGCAGCCTCCGCCCTGCCGCATCCCTCCCCTGTCGGGTGCCTTCTCCTCCCTCCCTGCTTCCCCACACACCAAGGCTGGTGAGAAGGGCTGGAGTGCAGCCTTCACTGTCCAGCTGCAACGGACACGCAGCTCCTTGGGTCCCCAACATCCTGCCCTTTTGAGCTAGCACAAGGAAAGTCGCAAGGGGATCGAGTTCTCTACCCTAAATATCCCCTTGTAATCCACCATGGGGTTTCGTCATGAACAGCAACAGAAAACAGTAGGAACAGAACAGTTACTTTTCAGAGTTCCCCCCTTAAAAGAAACCCATAAAGCAAACAAACAGGAGATAAGCTGCGACTGTTCTATGTACGAGCTGGCTGGACGCGTGTTTGTGGGACGCGAGCGCACCGAGTTTTGAGGCCTCGGTCCTAGAGCCTCCCCAGAACTGCGGGCCGGCGTCGACGCGGCCGCTTCCAGATGGCCCCTAGCAGCCCCGTTTCCTGTGTTCGTAACCCCTCTCTCCCCAGCTCCGTGTCGTAACGCGCTGGTAACAATAACATTTCTGAAATCGAAATGCTGCGCGGGCCAAAAAGCTGAGCTCAATCAGCGCAGGGGGAAAGCAAACCACAGAGAGCTATTGTTTCTGAAAACAAGCCAAAAACTCTTGGCGCTTCGAGGCATTCCCAATGTCCTTTGCACTATTTCCAGGAAAAATGATTCCCAAGGCCTTGTGTATTAAAAAAAAATCTGGCTTATATCAATAAACATGATAACTGCTGTATTTTTTCTCTTTAATCACAGCACAGCTAGCATGTAGAAGTAATCAGAGCTGAGACAAATAGCCTGCTTAAAGTGTATCATTTCAAAGCTCTCAAATTCTCCATTGGGGTGCACAAATTAACTCCTGGGGCTCCTCAAACTGAGTGTCACCCTTGACTGCATATATGTAATGCATTCCTTGAAAAAAATTTGGCAACAGAGGTGGTGGAAGAGGCAGTAGAAAAAGCAGAAGGGCAGTTTTTGACGGCCAAGTAAAGCTTCCTGCTCATCTCTACTGTGGCAGGATGGGGTCCAAGTGTCTCCTACATGATACAGGAAAAAAAAAATTGCAATTAAATTGTAAATGAAGCAAACAAAGTATAGCATGTGGCCCAGGACAGCCAAAACTTTGGGAAATGTGTCATGAATAGCAATCTAGCATCAATATCAAACTGCTGTAATCACTGCTGAATTACTTCCACTTATTTTTTGTTACTAGCTGTGTAATGCAATAAATAACAGTGTTGCACTTGGAACCTGATATAACTAAGCACAGCAAGAAGCTGCAGACATCCTTTATTTAGGATAATAGGAAAACAATATTTTTGTCTCATTTTAGTCATTTAGGAAGATGTGAAACCCTTCCTTTCTCCAGATTGTGGACTGTTCTTGCAATGTTACGTTTCAAAAAGAAATGGGCTTGAAGAGGATCGCACATACTTTAAGGTTTTAAGACAAATGCAAGCCTGCATGATTTAGAAAATGAGTAGAAAGCAAAATAGCCATAATTTTCTAATTTATGTGCAGGCGTCCTCCACTCTTAGAACCATATTTTGAAAAAGAAAGCAAGAGATCACCCCTAGAAGCCTCTCACTGAACGGTGAGAAGCTTGTGGCTGTTTTCAGGTGTCGCCACATTTGCTGTCTCCATGCTCAGCCTCACAGAACATTCACAGTGTTTGCAAGGACAGGTCATTGTGCAATAACGTTGTGTCAGATACACTCCAGGAAAACTGAGTAATTTTGTTTTTTTTTTTCCCCAAAACTATTTTAGCTGTGCACTTTACGCTGTTCTACCCCACCTCTATCACCTTTCTGCCTGTCACACTTTCCAAACACACACCCTTACTTCAATACGCAACACAGGCATTTTATTTCCAAAATTCATGCGCAACCATTTCTTGTCATGGGAAATTAAAGATGATCTACTAAAGCCAAAGCCATTTAGCTCCCTCGCTCAGCTGAATATGCCTCCAACCCTGTGATTCCACAAATGTTATTGAAAACGCAGTCACTTTATTACTCAAGTTCAGGGTGGAGGGCTGTGCTTTTTTGTCAATAGCTCCACAGCTGCTCTGCTTCAGAAATTCCACTCTTGAAAACATGGGGTCGAGTATTGAGGCAACCTCACTTATTTATGTAAGATCTGTGTGTTGGCCGCGAGCTTGGCTGCGCTAGCGCCGCGTTCTCATGGCCTTAACCCCTCCTGGCACGACTGGGCCACGGGATTCCCGAGCCGCAGGCGCTAATGCCGTGGGGACGTGTCTGTCACAGGGGCCAAGAGAATAGATACTTCTACGTTAACTATAAGCACAGCTACCCATTAAGTCTTTCGGTAATTTGCCTGCAACCAGATTCACAAGAGCCCTGTGAAAAAGGATGACATAGGAGATGGCGAGGTCACTCCCTGTCACCAGCCTGCAGAGCTCAAAAAATACTTGGTCTGTCCAGGAAAGATACTCAGTGTCATTAGAGTAACAGACAGAAAGGTCATTATGCATAAAACTAGGCTTAATGTGCATAGTGAAGACTAACAGTCAGCGAGAAAACTCTGCATCAAATCTCCTTTCCTTCCTCCACTGCAGAGACCCCTGGAGAAGCCGGACGGCCTGGACGTCTCAGACCAGAGCAAAGAACATCCCCAGCACCTGTGTGAGAAGTGCAAAGTTTTGGGCTACTACTGCCGCCGCGTGCAATAAGCCATTCAGTGGCCTCTTCCCGTCCCCATCATCCTTCAAGATCCTCTGGCAGCATATGATGAACAGCAACACAAAAAAGTCAAGACAAAAGCTAAAATAATTGCCAATATTGCCTATCTTTAACCTAGTAATATGCCTTACCAGTAGTAGAATGTAACATTTCTCCTGGGCATGCTCACACATGCCACAGGTATTTACAGGACTACAGCATATTTGATTGCATACATATACATATATATAAAACTCGTATATATATATGTATGTACACACACGCACGTAAGCAGTGTTACTGACAGTGTTCGCAGCAGAGCCGCGGTTCTGCTGATTGTTTACACAGCTCCTCTAGCAAGGCCAGGTGGGGTGAAGTCCTGTTTTTTAGGAAAGCCGCGATGTTCCCAAGGAGGGGGTGCTGCAAGGGGCTTTGGCAGAGGCTGCGCAGCTGCGGGGACACTCATGGCGAGCACTCGCTCGTGTCACCGGGAACGCTACGCCCGCTACACGCCGAGACGGAGGCGGAACACGCCACGGCGCGCGCGAGGGAGCACCGCTGTCCTCCCCGCTTTAGGAAGTCTGAGTTCTGTGCTGCTGCTTTCCTGGACTTCTATTTGTTGGTGTAACTCGGGCAGGGCTTTGGCAAAATTGTTTTTTGCAGGATGTGGCAAAAAAACGTGACTAATTGTGCGAGGGGGTGGTTTGTGCACACGGGGTGCCATGATGGGACACGGCGCATCGAGGGGAAGGCAAAATGGGCTGCTTGTGTTACCAACAGGGCCTTCTCTTTCATATAATTCATCTAAAATGGTCCCTTTACGTGTATGGACTATTCATTAGGTCACAAGGACACTAAATTTACTGTGAATAAAGGGGGATAGGAATGCTTAAAACTGCCCCCAAGCCCCTTAATTGAAAGATTAGCCAGATTTACTATTTATAATAGTTTCAAAGCCACTTTCTGGAAGTTTTATGTCCTGTTTTCTACTGTAGAAAATTGTTATTAATGTAAAATTCTTTAGCCATAGGGGTGTTATGAGGCATGAAGGACATCAAAAATCTACATGACTTCCCTCTTTTCTGTCTTCCTGAAACACCTGCATACCTTAGGAGAAGTGTAGGTGTTATATTTAGCGGTCCCACTTCAGGTAGAACTTTGTGCAGGGCATCCTGTTGCAAAGAAATATCTTTTCAGGGATTGGGAATATCATGAACTGAAAGTACCTCGAGACAGTATCCTGTTTGTACATCTCTTTAGGAGTACATTGGCAAAAGGACACGCAAGCAATTCTTGTGCATTATTCACTTAAAAATACTTTTTTTAATTAACAGGAATAACTTTTTTAAAAGAACAATATCTATTTTTACAAAGTTTCCTTTAGAGAGATTGATTTGTATGAATGATATTTAGTGAAATTATTTTAAATCCTAAATAACTTGAGGTAAATTGAATCTGTTTTAAAGGTTAATTCCATAATGCTAATCCAGAGGGTTTTTATGCCAAGTAATACTGGGATATTACCAGTATGTAGAGTCAAATTCTTGTACAGCAAATTGAAAACTTAGTGAGCATTCTCGTATGAAATGGGAGCCTCCTTACAATTTTGCTCCAGGGTGAAGCTTCTGCCGTTTCCCCGCTTTTCTATAAACAGTGCAAAATTGTTTGTTTATTCTAGTGGCAGCAAACCTTGCATGCATATCTCAAATTTAGCTATTTATGGGTAGCCCAGGTGATACAGCCTACAGGTTAGAGCAAGACAAACTCTGGGACTTGTTGCCTCTGCCCAAGGTTTTTCCACTTGCTCACTGACTTCATTTGAGTCACAAAATGCTTTTGGGCCTCAGTTTCCCCAACTGCAAAATGGGGGCAATAATAATTTATCATACCTACCTCACAGGCGTGTTGTGAGGCTTACTAAATATCTAGAGGTGTTTTGACAACATTGGATGATAAGTGCTACATAATGCTGAAATATTAACTAAAATAATCACTTTGAAACTGATTTTGCCCAGCTGGCAATTTCATCAACTAAAATGGACTTCATAGGAAATTTTAACACTAATACACAATTCAGTTGTCTCAGTCAAAACAGGCAATTTTGACACTTTCAAATGGGAATGCATTCTTTTGCACAGACTCAAAAGTTAACTTAGTGACACATTTTCCAAACAAAAACACTTAATTTGCCCATACAGTACTTTAAAAATAATAATAATACACAGGCAAATCTAGGAATGGATTTTCAAAGCTTGAGCTTTAGTGCTAATCTGGGTCTTTTGTTTTCAAGCATGGGAAACATTGAAAGAATGAATGCAAGAGAGCCACATACAAAACCAGATCTATTTTTTGTTCCTCTTGAGCACTTAGTAGAACATGAACAAAAACTGCCTTGACACGTCATATCCAGCCAAAGGACAAATTAAGAAATCCTACTAGATAAAAACTATGAAAATGTTATTACCCTCCTTGAAACTAAGATGTTGCTACTAACATGTTTTCTGTTTTGAAATCCTTTCAGACTTCTTAACCACTAAATGGGGGAAAAAAAAAAATCAGTAAAATTGCTGATGCCCTGATGTAGCCACATACAACAAGATTTTAAACTACTAAGATATACTAGAAGACACCATTACATGCAGTTGTTACTATTCTCATGACAGTACAGTCTTAAAAATTATTTAGCCAGATTCAACACTACAGAGTGATGCCTTTAGCTTATGGATTTTAAGGTTGCAATTGAAAATAAGATTCCTGAAACTACAACTAATTGACTTTAACACAATTAACAAATTGCTATAGAATAATTTTACCTTGAATTTTTACAAGTGTATTTATAGAAATATTTATATCATGATATTTTCCTAGGCAGCAGACAAAGGAAGTTTTTAAGTGATGTTTGGCATGAGGCACACATGGGATAGTGAGGAAGAAATCAGATGTTTACGCTGGGGAAAAGCAGAAAAAGCACAAAGTAGGCAGGAAAGCAAGTGGCAAGGCTGCCATGACTGGCGCTGCCCAGCACAGAGGCCACCAAGCCCTTCCCGGGCTACGTCCCGGCATCCTTCCCTGCTCCAGGCTGGGAAGCTCATCACAGAAAGCACATGGCCGAAAAACACATCAGTCCAAACAACATACGGGAGGTGGTACTCGCTAGATTTTAGTTGAGGTCACAGAGCTGAAACTTCCCATTTCACTAACTTGGGTTTGGACTAGAAATATATAAGTTTCTCTCTATATTTAAGGGTTTTTTCCATTTTATATTTTTTCCAATAAAAAAAATCATCACTTCAAGATTCAGATATTGAGTGGAAAGAAGATGAGCTGAATTTTCCCCTCAGTTTTTATGAATCTTCTCTACACTGAGATCATCAAATACTATACGTGTTTTGTTTAAGCAGTCTTATCTGGAGAAAAGCAGGTAGTGGTGAAAAGTTTTAAATCAGCACAAGTCTCCCTAAATGGGGTATTCTCAGAGGGTATCTGAGGGAAATCTAGCTGTATGCATGTACGTGACAGATTTAGTTTTAAATCCTATCAAATGCTTCTTGCAGTCTGTGTACAGATCTATCCAGCACACCCCACTTTTCCCATTGGAGATTAACTTCTTTTTCTTTTTCTTTTTTTTTTAAATAAATAATCCCTGTTTCTTCCATCAGTTGGGACATTTTACACAGAATTTGTCTTTGGCACTGACACTGTTCTGAAGAAAAGTATCAGCGATCTGAAATTAGTAGTGAAGATCTTGAGCTACTTTAACTTAATGCAACTCCAGTGAAGTTGTTACAACTGCTTTGTTTCATGGTGACGAAGAAAATTCCCTATAGGTTAAAGCATGGCCCTGTTTTAGCCAGTTTCTAGTGCTGCTACCACAGACATAAAATGATGCCACACAAGCAAAGTTTGAGACCTTTTTGTCTCAAGGTTGCTTTTTAATTTCAGAGAAATACACAAGGGTATATATTATTTCTAAAAATAAGTGTATTTTAAAGTTCCCCATTATATGGGACTTAGTTTGTAAACTAAAAATGTGAAGTTACGTATGTCTGAGAGAAGCCTTATATAGAGAAGTATTCTCTATATTTTACCTTTTTGTATAACACAAAAATTAGATTAAACGTGGGTTGCATACTCGTGAGGCTCTAGCCATTATTCCAGAAATAAAACTACTTGACACAGTAAAAGCTAAGAGCTTTTGGAAATGTTAGCATTCATAGGTTAGTTCTGTGTCCTACAGACATATAGGGTATCTTTTCCTCTTTTTCTAGTATGCATCCAAAGAGTGAGCCACTGAATAGCATGCAATAAATCATCAACATGTGTTTTTAAAATTAAGTGAATTGACATATACTTTCCACTTGACATTGCCAACACAGTTCAAAATGTGGCGGAACTATCCCCATACCAAATCATTCTTCAAGATATCACTCCGCTCCTGATTGGGCTTCAACACATATCTGTTTCCTATCTGCAAAACCACTGCTGTCCATTGATGTTGCTATATCGCTCAAGTGCTCAGAGGGCTGACTGAGATCTCCAATGTAGGGATGATGGTTTGTGTTTCTAGGATGTATCTCAAAGGGACAATCGTGTGCAGTTACTAGATATAGATGAATGATATAAATGTTTACCCCCTGTATGAAGTATTTTACAGTTTTACTTGCAGATGTGTATTTATCTTGAGTTATACTTGACATAGAGTTCCTTTCAATTTTTTTTTAATACTATGTGTGTATTTTGGAAACCTTTTTAGATGTTAAAATTTTTTGAATGGTTACAAATATTTCTTGTAATACTGAAATGTTATCTTGTCTGGAAACTTTGCAGTAACTTTTTTGTATATATTTGAGGGCCTTTTTTTTTTTAAAAAAAAAAAAGTATTGTTTGGTTTTTGGGAAAAGTTTTTACAACTTGGAAGCTTTCAAAAGGGCCTTCCTCTCAACTAGGATACTAACAGAGGTAAGAGTTTTCTTAAGTATTTTGCAAAACTAAGGATGTATCCTCAAGAAAATATTTATGGAAGTAATTTACTTTTTTTTTTTTTTTTTTTACAATGCTTTTGTCTGTATAAAGTATGCAACAGAACTACATTAAGAAGGAAATATTGTCTACATAAAATATTATGTGAAAGTTGGTACATAATTCTGACAAAAAACCTTGCAATTCTTTAAGCCATATGTTTTTGTTATCCTTGGATGAAAATATCAGTATTAAGTAACCAATATATTATTCAAG